CATCTTCACAGCAACGTAGGCGAGCATCCCATGGCGTAATTATGACGTATGCGACACGAACACTACAACAAAGGTGGAGGTTGAGGTGATGATATACCTACCGTTGTTTTTGTAGCCATTTCCCTCGTTCTGGGTTTTAAAAATGGTGGTTTTGATTTTCACAAACAACAACAAGAATTAGAAAAATATATACTTCTGAATTCAATCACTACACCATCCAAATGCTACGTCCACTTTAAATTAAAAAGGTAAAAGACTTCAACTTTGTCAGTAATATTTTGTATTTGATTCCTTATTTAGGTAGTTCTAAACTTTTTCACAGAATAAGAACAAATTACACAAAAAACATGTTAATAATACTGAATTTGTGCTTGAAATGTGTGTTTAAGTACAGATTTTGTGTGTATCAAAGACGCCCACTGTCTTTATGACCTGAATGGCAAAAACCTATCATCCTCTCACCCGTAGGTGTAGTTTTCAGGCAGAGTGTAGGGGATGTGGGTTTTTGGCATCAGCAGGAAAGTTCTCGCCAAGTGAATGCTGCTGCAGGTGGTCAGGAAAATGAAAGAGTAGCGGAGAGAGATTCCCTGTTCGTAAAGAATCTGCAGGGGGAAAAAAAGGTCACTTATATAGGTCATATATATATATATATAGGGTTTAAAGTTAGGACTACATTGCTTGGCAGGTGGATGCTGACACAGGTGGCTATCTTCCCACCTCCACTAATTTAAGTCGCTATGCTAGGCCTCTGATATGTGTGTGGCTCTGACCAATAAAATGGCGTGCTGTGTCTTACAGCCAATCCAAGAGGCCTTTGCTTAAATTTTGATGAATGCAATTCTAGTAGTCGGCGCTATCTAGATACCATCTCTTCTGTTTAAGGCAGATGTGGTTCTGTTGGTTTGTTGGATGATCACCAGCTCTTACTGGGGCAGCTGAAGCAGGAGTGAGAATTAGCACCTGGAAGTTTGAGGCCACGGTCTACAGTTGGAGATGGGTGGATTGCACATTGCTGTACCAAGTATCTCAGGGTTTTGAACAGTCTGTCTTTAGGGTAGACAGACTGGTGAAAGGTCTGCAGTGACTGGATACCATGCTAGTCTTTTATGGTGAAGAGATCTGGGTGTGAAGGAAAAACTTTCAATATGCTGACTGCTCTATGTTCCCATCCTCACCTTGGGCATAAGCTGAGAGTAATGACCAACAAAACAGGATGAGCTGCTTCAGTAGGGAGCCTGGGCTCTCCCTAAGAGATAGGGAGAAGTGGGTCATTCAGGACTGGATGAAGGGATGTAAATTCTAATATTTTATTTATGTAGTTGTTTGTTGGTGCACCAGTACAGCTATGGGATGCAGCTTGTTTCCACCTTTTTTTGCCAAATAAGAATAAAACTGCACTTCGGTAAAGTAGTAGTGGCACTAGTGTGGGGACAGTGTTGTTTTACCATCTAATGTGTGTGACAAATATGAGTGTAGCAATTATCGGTCCCACCTTAACGACGAGAAGCACAGCAGAGGAGGAGTCAAAGGCACCATTGTAGAAGGTGATGATGGTGGAGCGATGAGCAGGAAACAGGTTGCCCACCTTTCCGTCACACAGATACACGGATCATCAGGACAAAATATGTTTGAAAGTTTAGAAGTGGCTTAAATATATTTCTGTTTAGGAACAGAAACTTTCTACAGGTGTAGTTACCTGCATGTTAGTTATGAGCAGTAGGATTCCACCCACAGTGAGGAGAGACAGGGCGGGGTACAGCAGATTTGAAAGTTCTACAAGACACAGAAATACAAACATTAGGAATGTGATGTTGCACAATATTAAAGGTAGTTAGAGTTAAAACTCCAGAGTCACGGTGTAGAGAGCAGCAGAGCAGCAGAAGTGCTGACGAGCAGATAAAATGCTGAATAATCATGTTTGAAAACAAACTTTTTGCTTTCCCCAGCAGCAGTAAAGGGTTACAGTCAGGGATGGATTCGGTGACTCTGAACCTTTAAACTTTCTATAGGCTCAGGCTGATGGGGCGTTTTGTTGTTCGTGGTCTCTCTGTGCCCTCATTCTCTCTCTCTTCTCTTTTCCCCCTATTCCACAAACATCGAGGCTGAGCCTGTTTCTGCCGGAGGACTTTTCCCATTAAAAGGGAACTCTTGCCTGTAAACAGGCGACAGCCTGATTTGTTAAGCTTTCTCTCTAATATTGTAGAGTATTCACATTGCGCCTTAAGATAACTGCTGTTGTGATACAATATAAATGAGACTGAAATCAAATGGCAATGGCTATACTGGAAAATAAAGAACACGCGTTCAATATGTTAATGGCCTGAATTATGCACAGTTGTGCATAATTCTCACA